CGTGGGTTCCAAAACTTCAATTAATGACGTAGCCGAAGGATTGTAATATAGCCAACCCGCATCTGAAGTACGACTGGAGTTATATCCGACTGGTTTTCAGGCCTGGAGATTGTTTATTTTTCTTACGTGATTCAAAAAGAGGATAGCAAATAATAGAGTAAACGAGTTTCCGCGAGAAATAGGCGCGTACGCTAAGGCAAGAACGTAGTTTGCCTGATGTTTCGGATTCCACTTCGAACTATATCATCGGGAACGGCATTTTATGTGCTGTTGACTACGCCCGTCATAACTTTACCAAGGTGAAGCATGCTGACCTCCTTACCATCGAAATTCACCATCTGTCACCTTTGATCATTAATGACCTCTACTCCAAAATTAGTAGTCTAACTGAGGATCCTCGGCAAGTATGTCGAAAAAGAACCCTTATCCACAAAGTAATACGTCGTTCGCCTTTTGAATGACTGAGAGCAAGGATTTTGTGTATATTAATAGGAGAGGTGCTCGTCAATAAGTACGCAGCGTATTTTGTAAAACAATTAAAATCGGTCTATCTACTAGTTTTCTCAGTGCCTCAAGAACGCAAGCGATATTAAATTAAGGCATTCACCTTGATAAACTGTTTTTGTTGCTTGGTCTGTTGACGTTAAGCGTTTCAGCCTGATCTGTTAATGTAGCTATGGGACCCCGATTTTATAGATCGAAAATAGACAGTTGGTTCATTTTAGTAAAAGTTTGCGCCATACGTCCACCCACAGCCGTATTATTCTTCAGACGCCGAAAAGTGTGAACGAGCGCTTTGGAGGGAGGCTCATCTACTGTGACCGGAAGGATTTTCAGATCGACATAGGTGTATGAAACCAAAGTTCACCAGTGCAGTAACTTCGGTAGACACCCGTCATCCCAACACTAACTGTGACAGGTGTGTCCTCTCCCCCGCTGTTATGAACGTCTGTCTATCTGCCTCCGCCACCAAACACTGGTACGACAGTCCTATTCCGAGATTTTCATTTAGTCTGACGACTGGCCGGCGTTACCGACTTGACAACTCACGAGTACAACTCGATCATCCGGAGACTTTTCATATTAAAGGATCGTTACATTCTCAGGGCTTCGGTGTGTTCTACGGCTAG